AAATATTAGTAAGATGAAGCATTATTGCTGACAGAAAAAAAATGGATTTCGTGATCCCAACTCCAATTTAACTTTTACATAAATATTTATTAATATTAGTATAGTATAGGACAAAAATCAGAATATTGTTATAGTTTTCAATAACAAAAATAACTTTAAAAATTCTCTGTACAAATACTGAGATACACAAGCTATTTCTTTGGGGAAACTTGAACATAAAATACAAGAGAGCAAATATAAGTTAATCTATACTAAAATTCATTATTTTTCCTTACTAACACAGGAATAAGTTTTCTAAGAAAATTAACCATACTAAACAAAATTTATAAACTGAAGTGATAATTTAAAAAGTTATTCTGTCTTAAATCTACATTCACTTTCTGTGTGTACATAAATGTGAATTTATATAATTAAAATGGCCAATTGCAGAATATCTATAAAAATTTGAAGCTTACATAAAATATTTACAACCTTTATTAAACACAAAGTAAAAATGAATTTTGTGGCTAAATGCAATCCTAAAATGTCTCTAAATTGAGAGATTTCACAAGCCAACAAACAACTTTCCTTCATCACTAATAAATGTATATAATGAAATCAAGTAGAGAAGAATTTTTAGAATATTTGTGAAAGTCTTGAAATCAAAGGATATTTGTTATTTCAACAAGATTATAACTACATAAAAAAGATCATTTTAAAAATTTGTAAATAATTTACTTTTATTAAGTTCAATATCAACAAAATATTGTTCAGCAAATATATACTGTGAAACAACTAATGGGCTTGTTAGACAATATCAAATATGTAACTTCTACCACATATTTATGTAGTGCTAAAAGTATGAACTATCAAACAACTGTTGGATAGATATTTACTAAACTTACTTAGGCATAAAAATTGAATTAACTAAACCATACTCTACAACAGACACATATAAAACGTTATTGGGTACAGGAAAGAAACACAATCTATTTAATCTTAATCGTATAAAAAATTTGGAACTTAAAAAGCATCATTTTCACAAATTTTACAGACCATTTAAGTATCATATATTCAAGAAATCCACAAGCAGGAATTACAGTTTCAAATGGACAGAAATTCTTTATTTCACTTGTTGATATAAAAGTTAGTAATATCCAAAATTTTATGCATTCAGATGTTTTTCTAAATAAAGGAAAAAAAACTATACAACTAAAATATAACTTCCCATTATGCATTTTAATTTCTTCCTGATCATCATGTAAATGAATTTCTCATGTAAAATGGTAAAATATAAAATTTAATATATACACACAAAATTTGCTAGAGCAAATTTGTGTTTTAGTCAATGGCTATTTAATAATTTTAACTGTTCAAAAGATGTTCAGTCATTTTTATTATTTATGTATATGCTTGATATTATCTATAACTCTTGGTTTATATTTGAATTTATGAAATTACAAGCAACATACTCTCAAAACAATATTTATGATATTCTATATTATTATATTCATCACCATTAATGAGGCTTTATTTTAAAAAACTGTTATAAAATAAAATAAGACATATCTTGGCTGATTTACAGGCAAATACTCAAGAGCGAGAACCAGATGTGAACGGGACAAAGCCCCGTCACAAAATGACCATTATCTTTCTTTACAAATGTTCGGTTGAAAAATAATATAATATTTAAAGTGCTCTATTTTTCGTCCAATAAAAATGCTTCCCTCCTAATTATACTTGCTTCTTTTCTAGAGCCTGTTAAGCCATAAAACAACGCTATAAAAGGGGTCACATGGAAGTTCAAGAGGCAGTCCACAGGTGGCCACAAAACAGACCGTCACGGGTCAGGCCGAGCGATCAGCAGCAGGAGAGCATCAACCACCGTCAACATGTGTGAACTACTATGAGAGATTGACCTAGATCCGAAGCCGGCTTATGAACTTTACCACAAGGTAGCTGTCCCAAACCCACACATTCCTGTTGAAATAAACCACGTAAATCTATTTCTGCTGTTGTCGTATTTCTTTCTTGCAACCATAAGCTTGTCTGTAACAAAACTTTCTTTTAATGTGTTGTGACAACAAATCTGTTTCAATCTCATTTTTGTGATAAAATAACATACAATTAACAGCTGCACCATCTTTAGTGATTGATTATGCCTTTGATTTATTTAAGAAATTGATAAATTCAATCTTAACATCTCACATGTTTTCTTTATAATTTTTCAAAAATTTGAAGTGTAATTATTTTTTTCAGTAGTCATTTTATTAATATCAGATTTTGTTAAAAAACAAAATATTTTCCTGGTCATTTTATCATTTTCAGAAGTAATTAGTATTTTTTTTTTGGTTTTATAATTTCTTCACTAGATTATCTGGTTTTGTTTTTTATTTATTTTCTCTTCTAAAAGCCATATTATTAGCAGAGAAATTAACTTTTTAAAAATTTAAATGACAATAATAAAAGTATTTAAAAACTTCTTTGAAAGACTAATTTGAATAGATATATAAGCATCTTTGAGTGTAAAAGAGGAGAAAAAAGAAATAAAGATTGTTATCTTATTTACTTATGCTGGTTTAAAATTAAAAATGATTTTCCATATGTAAGGATGAAATATGATATTTAATTGATAAAGATCATTCTAGCATAAGCGTCTGCTCAAAAAGTGTATGTGTGTGTGCATATGTGTACATATTTGGGCATAACTGTTACATAAAAATTTCACATCAAATAAATGCAGTTTTATCCCTTATATCTACCACACCAGGAGTCATATCTTAACCAACTTGATCACTTCTATCCTACAATAGATTACGCTCTTTATCTTTATTTATATAAATCCTCAGTAAGATAAATTCTGGCTGCTCAATACAAAGATATTATAATTTCAATTCTTTATTAAAATTATTTTTTCTAGTTAAATAATACAAGAACAAGTATTTTAATATTCATGATTTCAAGTTATAGGCAACTTGAAAGGACATAAGTAAAACTGTTTTCCTAAAAGAGATTAAACTTCAGGCTCATGCTTAACACATCACATTAGATAGAAACTTTTGAAAATGTATATAATAAAATAAATTAAAAATAATAGATTCATCTCTTGTAAAAGTCAAAAAAAAAAAGACAAAAATTTTGAGCATCAGTAAATATTTAGTGTAAATACTAAAAGGTGATCAGATTCTATATCTTCATTTATAGCTCAAGTTGCAAGTATTGCATTCAATATTATTTGACTGTGGAAGTTTAATATTAGAATAGAGAAACTTAAAATCCCATGAAAAAAACTAAAGAGAAAGAACAAATTTCTTTTAACCTAGATTTATAAAATCAGAGACAATTTGATAAACACTTAAAATAACCAATCAAACAGCAATGGGATTAAACATAAAAATCTGCAGACTGAAAATTGGTTATTTAAAAAATAAATAAATGAAATAAAACAAAAAGCTAAAACATAGGGAAAACAAAACTGAGAAAGGACAAAGAGAATATTAAAACAGATCAATTGAGCAATCAATTATTATGGTATTTTTTATTTTAGTAATTTATTTTTATTTGATCACCTTGCTTATTCTAATTAAGACCGAGTGAGAAAAGAAAACAGAAAACTAAAACTAGTTCTAAAGTTAATCAAAAAATCCAATTAAAGAAAAAGAGAATAAAAAGAAGAGAAAATGACATTTGTTTTTGTTTGTCTTTACAGGTATTTCATTTAAAGGTTCAGCATATCAATATATTACTTAAATTCACATGGTAGTCAGTAAAATGAGTCAGAAAAGGAATTTCTAAAAATAATTAAAAAAACAAAAAACCTTCAATAGAAAAACTTAAAATTGAACAAAACTACAGCAAAATCCCAAATCGACACAGACACACACACATTCTACACTATTTATTGCCAGAGGAGCCAAAATTAAAAAGCTTTGTATGTAGTTATAGTTATACATTCAATAGACAAGTAATTGTGAACATTTAGAATAAAGATGTAACTTAAACTTAAAATACTGAACTTTCATTTTCTTATCTGCCAATCACACATGCAGCTAATGATTCAAGCAGTTTATCATTCCAGGTTTTTCAGAAATCTACTTTCTCCATTTTCTTTACCAACAATGATAACCTCACATTATTATGAATTCATTTATTTTTAGTTTTCTTTCATGTGAAGTATTTTTTTAAATCTGTGGTATAAAAAATATAAAAATAAAGGTCAATAGGCAATGATGATGAAAAGTAACTCTTGTATCCTGAACATCTTAACCCTTTGAGTAGATGGACAAATTATATATTATAATCATAATTCCAAAGAGAAGACAAGGAAAAAATAAAATTCCTTTGATTTAATAATACCTTAGTTATAGTAGGTTTATTTCTATAAAAATTTATTATTCTTTAGAATCACATACATTACTATTTTTATGAAGGTTACAAAGTACAAAGACAGACACCTGAAATTAAATTTCTGTAAAAATTCTGGCTCATGCTTTCTAAAGACTTCCCATCATCATTCTTACAGGAATGTTTTGTCAGAAGATTAACTGAATATTTTCTATTTATATTTTCCTTCCCTATCCTCTCCTAATTATGTTCAAACACCATTTTTCTTTTTTGATTTATATATTCCAATTCAGTCAAACAAAAATATCAGACAGTTTTCCAGAGTGTGGTTCCAAGCCAGAGATTCAAGAAATCTGTAAAAACAGTTGATATATTGGGTTCTTATAAGTAGAAAATGCAGAATGTAGTCAGTAAAAATGTGTGTTGCTTAAAAGTGAAAATTGTAAAGTGTAGTATATCCTTGGAATTAAGCACTATCTAGTTCTAAAATCAGGAATAAAATAATCTTACATCTTTTCTAATTAAGTAGAAATTTCAGTACATAAAAATAACTCATTTTATAAAAATATTTTCCTTATAGGATTGTAAGAATAAAAAAATAATCAGTGTATTGTTACAAGTGGGAAAAAAAAACATACAATTATAAAAAAGAAATAAAATACATAATGTTAACATACCTTGTTATTTCTTCATGTAATGACATGGGATCTGCTGGATAGAATTTTACACGGAAGCACAGCACCATGGGATTGACACCTAAGAAAAAGAAGCAGACAGACATTAAACAAATGTTCTGAAGTGCTATGACATACATTGGTATGGCAAATCTGAAAGGAATTTCTGAAGATTAAAAATAAAAAAAATAGAGAATTCCTCAGATTATGTCATCAAAATGGCTGTTATCCTAAATAACCAATAAGAGAAAAACAAATGCCCAACAAAGCAGTGCATTTGGCAGGTAGTGACAACAGCAGTGGAAAAGCATCCCAATGAAAGAATAAGGATTTCTATTTGATCAACACAAAGCAATAATTTACCTCATTTGAATTAATGCATCCTATTTTTAAATAGAAAATAAATTAAACTAAAACCAATATTTGACTCAAGCCATCCTGGTTAAGTTTATATCACAAGAAAAAAAAATCTTTATCAATTTACTAACCAAAAATCTAAATTATTTTTTGTCTTTTTTTTTCCACTCTTTATTTTTGAAAACAGTGTCTTACATTTAATTTTACATGAGAAATATAGTAAAACTTCAAAATATAAACAAACATGTTATTTGTAACCAGGAATTAATAAGCATTTTCCTACACAGTGCATTTTGATATCTTTATTTTCTTTTTAAATTATTTCACCCCAAGCAAGACAACAAAGCAAGACACAGGTGGGTTACTGAGTGTGAAAGAATATAAGAAAAAGAAAACATTTATTTTAAAGATTCAATTTCAAAATTAAATTTCATCATAAACATTAATAATAAAAATCAAAGTGGCACTTTGGAATAGATTTTTCATAGAGACTCATTAGAATAGGTTTAACTTAAGTTGTTATCATTTCAGATTGGGATTTTGTTAAATAAACGTGAAAACCTTAGTTTTTTATTGTAATTTATTTATAATTTTATCTTCGATAAGTAGTTTGAAAGGTTCTGGGTATTTTCTAATAACAATTAGAAATAGACTGTACAAAAGTTTAAGCAAGCTTAAAAAGGAAAAATAGAGCTTTTCTTACTTTAAAAACAACTTTGATCAGCTACAATGACTAATCAACCTTTGATCATTTTCGCATTACTGTAATTTCCATTTTGACCCATTTTAAAAATATAGAAAAAAATAAATTGCCAGTTTTTTAAAATTCAATTAAGTAGATAAAATACTGTATATTTCCTTAATTAGAAAGCAATTGAAAGCAACTGACATGTTAAAATGGTTAGCATTTACTCCATATTGTATAGAAAATTTTGCAAAAACTTAACACATGTTTAAAAGTTTTACCTTCGAAATGTTCAAGTTCTGAATATATTTTAGCAATAGTTTATTTTCCATCATCAATGGAATGAAAAAAAATCCTGTTGAATCCTCTTACCAAAAAGAGTAGTAGGAGATATTGTGATATTGATAATTTTTAATTAGTCTTTCTTTTCATTTTATTTGTTCTACTTTTTATTGCTATGTTTGTGCACCCTACAGCTGTTAAGAAAACCTAATGAAGCAAAAAATGTGATAGCCTCTGACAAGATTTGAACTCACATCCACTGTCCTTAAAACCCCGTTTAATATGAATAACACCCTAAAGATTAGTAAGGGTATCATTTATCACATTTTAATCTCATATCTATGCTGCCTGCTCAACAATTCAAAAGTGAACATTTCTTGCAATTTTTCAAAAGAAAAGAAAAACTAGTCAGAAATTAAATGATGATGTCTAACATTTAACCTGTGTCTTAGAACAATTAATTACAAGTTTAAAAGAAATATTTGCTAAGACTTTGCAGATGAAACAAATTGTAAAAACAGATTAAAATGTATAGATATGAATAATATTTTTGCATTCATCTGCAAGTAATTTATATTGTTCATTAAATAAAATAAAAAATAATGACAATGTTTCATTTAAGGAATTTGGACAACTTAAGAGTAATACTATATCAACCTCTACTAATAACTGACTATGAAATGAAAGGTTTAGTCTTTAATATCTTTCATATTGAGGATTGTTATTTTAATAGCAAATGTTTATAGTATTTTTCTGATATTTTTCCTTAATGGTTATCAACTTAAAAAATGGAAGCAATAAAACAAATTCTTATTAAGGACTATCATTTTTGCACTAATTTCCTTGAGAAAGACATGAATAGACTTTACAAATACAGTTTGATAACAAGTCATCTTCAATTACAATCCTATTACTGATAAATAGTTTACAATTAGTGTAGAAATTCTTTGACACTATTATTTTCAATAGGATATGTGAAAAAAATGGACATCATTTTATTAGCCTTTCCCAAGAAAATTCTATGAAGTACATGTCAGAACCTAACAGACCAATCCTGCATGAAACTCCAAAAACATTTTCCACCATGAGGGCTAACTTTCAACCAACATCAGTTTATATATTAAAAAAAAAATGAATAAAATAACATTGAGAACATTGAAAAGAATGAAATTTAAAAAGAAAAACCTTTTGGACCCCAAGTTCCAATGTTCCAGCTTTTACCAAAACCCACTATTTACATAGTTACTGTTTTTGCATTTATTATTTAATAACTTTTATCTGTTTACATCCTTTATTTAATTGTGTTAATACATTATATTTATGAAATTCATGTAATATATTTTAATTTTTAAAGATAATTCTTACAAACAAAACTCCATACAATTGACATTTTGTATATACTCTTCTTCAAAATAAGCAAAACATCAATCAGTTCATTATAATAATGTTCAAAGTATGATATATATAAATATGGAAATCTCAAAAGAAATTTATTACACTTTCTGGCTAAATATGTAAAAAACATGATTTTTCTTTCTGTTCATCTACAGTGTATATTCTAATGCATAAGCTGAAGGTTAGCAACATTCATTTTATTGGGATTTTCCCAATTATATTTGGTAACAAAAATATTGTGACGCCGGCAAAAAGAAAGGAACACAAACACAGTTGAAAAATGTTTGAAAAACTTGTATTGTAGGAAAAGAGCAGAAAAAGTTTCATTGCAAACAGTCGGGTTTGTGGAACTTATCTGAAAGATGCGTCCTTATAACAGTTTTATATTTCCTGTGTCGTTTTGGCTGGGTTGAAGAAAATAGAGTCTTGACTTCTGTGCTTCAGTTGCTGTCTAAATCCACACACGTGTCCTGGTGTTTAGATGCCGGAGTGAAGACGGGGGAACGTGTTGTCTCTGAGGGTCCCCACAAGCAAAAGAGGAAGAGAGTTTGTAAAAACCGCTCACGTGGGGGTTTGGTGAAAGTCTAAAAAGGTAGCCTGTGATTGGTTGTTTTTCATCCAATCACAGGGTACCCAGTTAGCGACTCCATCATAATTTCAATATTCTCCCCCAAAACAAAATTACAATATGAAATCATTGCAACATAATTTTTCACACAGTTGCAGGTTGTTTTGTTTTTTAAGGCAACAATAGCCAAAGATGAAAGTTCACAGAAAAGTTTGTTTTCTTTTTAAAATGTTCAAATTAGAATGTAGAAGGAGTGGAGATTTGTTTTCACAAAGAACTCCAAACTTTGAAAAAAGTGAGTGTTGTATTTTATTTTGTATGTAAAGAAATTCTCATTTTGGTGTACTAATACGACTATAGAAATTTCATCCTCTCAATCATATAGTACAATATCATTAACACTTTGTTTTCTTTGTTCAGCAACATGTACCCTATAAGCTAAGGTATGTGAAGACTATCAGTTTTAAATAGAACTGCATTTAATAGTATATATAGGGGTTATTGGGAGAGTTTTTACTACCTTTTAAATTTTTAGTCCTTTTAGGACGTTGTCTTATTGCAACAGATGCACCCTTAGTATCTGGTACATCATTAGAGACCTTTGATTTTGCAACATCAATTTTTCTATCACACACTCACTTCGAATCCAGAATGACTCTAGGATGGTGGGCATGAGTTAATGATAGTTCTAGAGGATACAGCAGTTTGATAGAATGGACCTGAACAGACCCGTCACCTCTCTTGACTTTTACAGAACAAATCTTTTTGTCATCACCGACAATTAACTCCAAAATGCAGCCAAAATGGTCTAGACTTGGCAGGATTCTTAACAAGAACCACATCATCAACATTGATTCGATTGTGAAAATTGACCTCGTGCAAATCTTTACACTGTTCCATCAAAGCTCAACAGATAATCTTGATACCAAAGCTTGCGGAATCTAGTCAACATAGAATCACGAGTTTCAATGGATTTTACCACATTTAATCTTGAGGGGGGGGTCAGATTTCCAAACATCCTGATCTTCTAATTTCAGTACAAGTCCCAAATTAGCGTTAGGATGAAGAAAACAATTAGGAGTTATTACTTCGAGGTCTGAATCCGAAGAACATCTATAAGTGAGAGGTCTTTGGTTTATAGCACTCTGAACATCCGAAATTACAGTAAGGAGATCAAAATATCTAATTCGGGCATGCCCAGTTGTTTTATATAAACATGATTTAATAGTCCTGATCATACGTTCCCATATACTCCCAACCCAAGCAGCATATAGAGGTATTCTGATGTGCTTAATATTATACACTTGGAAGTGTTCATTGAATTCAGAGGAGGCAAAAACTTCCTCTATAAGATTGCAACCAGCTATAAAGGATCTGGCATTATCACTGTAAATATGAGATGGGAATCCATATATATTAGTAAAACTAATCAGAGCCAGCCTTTACCCAAACATGTCCAGTATAGTCAATCCCAGTATGTAAAAATGGTTTAATGAGATTCACTCGGTGTTTAGGAAGATTGGTAACCTTAGGATATTGTTATTAAATTTTTTTGGTACAAGACTCCTAATAATTACTTTTTTTTGAGGCTTGTCTCACCCTGTTTATCTAAAACTCTGAAAGGCAGATTTTGTTTACTGAATTTGTTTACATCTTTTAATATTCCACAATCATAAGTTCAGTCAAATCATGATCCTTAGCCAAAAGACAGGATTGATAACTTCATAATCATAAGTAGTGACTTTAATTCTACCCTTAGTCCTGATTATCCCCTTTCATCTATGAATAAGTTTAA